CAGAGAGCACATTGTGCTTGTTGACAGCAAATACCAGGTGATAAATTCTCACTTTCTTCAGTACCATAAAGAATAAAGCCAGCCCTGCATGCAGGTAAAAAGTACATACTGGTAGTATATTCTCTCCATATTAGAATCATTTAACTTGAGAAGGAATAAAATATAGAGGCAAGCAACACTGTTTCTATCAACTTAGATGCCTTAGCAAATACCCTTGGCCACGTGTGAAGTTGTAAGGCAGCAGCAGGAAGGACAGCCGTGTGGGAAGGAAGGAAAATCACTCGAGACTGCAGGTCTCAATCTGAGAACCTGTGCACACCCCAGGGCACAAGGAAGGCTTTCTGTTCGTGGCAGGAACTTCAAGGTTGGCCCCTAAAACAAAATCGTGACTCAACACTAATAAAAGCAAAGTTTCTTTTTTTTTTTCCTAAGAACATGACACACACTTCTTATTTCAAAGGGTAGAAAATCACTGTAAATTGTCTGCAGAGCTTAAGAGAATACATATCAAAAACATCTGTGTCACTTTTCCTTTTCTTTTTCCTGTGTTTTCAGATCTTCTTTCTGACATATGCCCCTCAATAAGTTTTTCTATATTTTTTCCATAATTATTTCATAATAATTCATGTTTTTTTCAGATGGGAATTTAAAGCCACCGTTCTGCTTACTAATGTTTGGCAACACCTTAAACCACTCTTCATTCAAACAAGTTTAGACCCATTATCCCTGGATAAATCACTGTTAATTGCCAACTTTCAATATACGGAAACTACATTGGTCTTAACTTCAGCTTTCTAAATGCCCTTCCATGCCATGGCTTGCATATATAACCTCTAGATTTTTGTAATACAAATAGTGACGTTCTCCTGAGAGGTGGGACATCAGATGGCCCACTCAGATGCTTGAACTGATCCATGAGCATGTGGAAATTAGATGAAATTTAAGATTCTAAAAACCTTAAAATAGAAAATTATGAGTTTTAATTTGGACCCACATATGAATGGGACTGTGCAGGAATTTCTAATCTGTCTGGACATGGCCAGAGCAGCTCACAGTATTTGTGAAGGAAAAAGTCCTGAAACCTGTATCTGAAATTTCTGTGGAAGACAGATCTGTATAAATATTTTGGTAGAAGAAACATAGGAGTAGGACCTCTTATTATTATGCTGCTTATCTTTTCATTTCTGCTCTCTGTTGTACACTCTGTGATTCTTTGGAGTTAAAGATACAGTGGCAATATTATTTGCTCGTAACGTGTTTATTTTCTATTCAGGTTACACATTTGTTTGATAATGGAGGGACTGTCTTCTTTGCTATTTTCATGGCAATTTGGGGTAAGTCAGTTTTAATTCTGTAATTTTTTTTCTGTTTTGTTTTAGTTCGTCTGCTCCTTTTATATGATTACAGTTGACTATTAGTTGGTAACTAATAATAAGTGATAACTGATGTTGACAGTACTGGTAGCTTTGTCTCTATTGCCTTACTGCCACATGCTCAGCCACGTAGGGCTATAAATTCATCAACATGATCCTTAATCCCCAAGCTAGTAGGACATGTTAACAGAGTCCCAGTGACAAGCATATATTGTTATTTTCTCAGCGGTTATTTTCCATGAACAGTCATTTTCTCAGCACTTCATTTGTTTATTCTCTGTCTTTACTGCTTTGTCTTTCTCCTGTTCTTTCTTTACGTTTAGGCATTTGTGTTATTGGCAAACAGATGAACTGTGATATCACTTGTATTATATTACCATAACATAGCTGTATGTATCACCATAACATTTACTTTTGAGCTGGATAGAACCAAAGCATGCTTTTTAAGATGCCTGTGTACTTGGCAGAGAGCATTCCTTTCCTACTACTTGGAGATAGGTATTTCTTTCATCTAATTTGTGCCAAAATCACTTGCAACCTTTCTACAGATCTAGGTTGCCATGCAGATAGCAGATCAGTTGGCCAGAGAAATAGAAGCTTCAGCCTTTTTATTCCTCCTTCAATAGTGATTGTAAGTCTGTATCATCAGAGAGTCACAAGGCATTGCACTCAGTGGTTTCATCTTCCCCAAGCAATTTCAACTTGTGAGTAATCCAAATAAAATGAGCTCTGTGCATCTTGTTTCCTCAAAAGGTGTGAACATGGTCATGCCCCATGTTAATAAACAATATTTGGCAGAGCAGGTTCTCATTGACTTTGGTATTTTATTCCATCTTGCTGTTAAACTGTTATTATCTAGTTTTTATCCTGTTAGCATTCTTGACCAATATCAAATGAAGTCACACAAGAGGGAATTTTGCCACTAGTATTTGTGTTATTAGGAAAGCAGGTGCAATATGCTGTAGGGAAGGCTGCAGGGTGAGCATTTAGTTCCAGAGCAGAGGAGCGATGCTCTGCTCTGGTGCTGGGCGCAGCCTCTCGCCCAGCGCTGCATCCTTCTGCTCTCACGTGGCCAATGTCCATCCTCTGCACGGTAGCGTCTGGAAAGGAACAGCTGTGACGGGATCATTTGGGAAAATGGGAGCTTAGAGGTAAGGACTGAGCACAGAGCAAAGCACGTATCATTCTGAGGGCTGGGCTGGCGTCACGTCATCCATGGCCACGTCCCCCCTCGGGCACCCCGTGTCACCTTCCTTGTCCGCCACGTGGGTTTTGTCATGGCATGTCCCTCCGAAGCCTGCGTCATGTGGCCCCGGCGGGTTGTCCAACGAGAGAACTGAAAAGGATCATTTAATCATTGTCCACCTAGCATGGGAGCCATGCTCTCCTCATTGTCCACCTAGCATGGGAGCCATGCTCTCCTGGTACTCAAGGCACTTTCTTGAGCTAAAAACATTATTGCTCACAGGGTTTTCCATCTCAAATGCAACTACCAGCTAAGGCTGAAATAAATCTACACTATCATATAAGCAACTTGCACGTTTCCTTTCAGGCAGGGTTTAAACTGTTATACACAGACCCAAAAAGGCAGTGGATGAGCTGGTCTTATACAGCATTCCTATTTTCTATATATTAATTTGCAAACTATGTGCAAAGTGTCCAGTTTTTAGTTCTCCAAAAAACTGCTTCATCTTTTACCTCTTTAATGCAATGGAAGATTACAACACTTAAATACTTAAATGTAAAAATACTTAAATGTGCATCATGTTGGCTGCAAAAAAGGAGATAGTGTCTTTTATAACAAGTAACGGGTTTTGCTATAGGCAATAGTGTAAAGCAGTTTCATTAATAGATATGTTACTAGTTAAGATTTGTAGTGGAATTACAAGTAAAATTAATAATTCTATTAAAATGAAAATATTTGTTAAAAAAAGCAAATGCAAAAAGAGAAATCTAACTTGGTTATTCTTTCTTTACATAATCAGTATCTGAAGTGTTTTATTATAATATCTATGCTTGATATAGCGCTTAAGAAAATTATTAAAATTTTTAAAAAATTCAAAGTTTAAAAATTCCAAGTCCAAGTCATTCTATGTGAGTCTAGATAATGAAGTTTATGCGGTGCTCAAAACTTGCCTGGAAAACCCCTAAGTAAATTTTATTTAGCCTTACCTGGCTCGCTTCTTGTATCCTCATGAAGTCGTCTGTGGGAAAATGATCCGGAATTTTTCTTTCCCCAGATAAAATATCCAATCAGGCCAAATAATGCAAATCCCAAAATAGTTCCTAAAAGGACACCAAATATTACTCCTCCTTTGTTGCTTTTCTCTAGGAGAGAAAGAGAATAAGAAGTACAGCTGAATCAGAATGATAAATCTGGAAGATTAGATATTCTGCCCTCACTTTCTACCACCCGAGGATTTTGTGGACCTTCCCTCTCTGAAACACTTTGCGGAGCCTGTAACTAAAGCAGCCTCTCTGCAGAATGTATGTGCCTTTATAGCAGAAAATAGAAAGGCCCACGGTCAAAAGAAAGCTCCCTGCTTAGTTATGGAGGCAAGCCTCAGCATCTAACCACGTTTTTTTTAAGCAACAATCACTGTTTACATGTAATTATTTCTGTTGAAGCCAGGAGATAATACAGCAGCCTCTGAATTCCAGATATTTACATTATAAAGTGCCAATTTTGAATATCCATCCAGAAGGCTAGCAGTGCTTTCTGCATTCGCTCAGTTAACAAAATAACCCTGTTCCTCCAGGATCATCCTCCAATTCCTTCAAACTTCTTCCAGGTATTCTCCTTTCCTTGGAATTGACCTTGCTTCCCGTTCCCTAGCACTTCCTTTTTAGTCATGCTATCTAAAAATCATGTACACTGTGATTCGTAGAACTACAGTGGGAAACCTGAAAACCTGGTGCTCCTTCAGTGCTTAGTACTGGATATGATGGATGAGCTTTTCAGTGCTGCCTAAAAGCTTGAAAGCTAATTCAGGGCATATGCTTGCTCTTCGCTAATCTTCTGTTTCTTTTTCCCAAGACATAATTCAGAGCAGCAGTAGAAGGAAGTGCCATGGCGGTTTTATCCTCCATTATTTTCTCTGGCTCACTAATCGACTTGCTAAGAACTAACTGCAAACTGAGCAGTTCCTCTGAGAGAGTTAATACAAAGTCACCTTTGGTCGCAGAAGCGCGAGATTAATGTTAGGCATTTTCAGTTTGACCCCTGCTCTTCAGGTCCATGCCAGTGTGAGCAAACAGTATCTAAAATGAGTTTCCTGAGCTCTTGTAAAAAATTAGAAAAGTAAACAATTTGAAATTCTTTTTATCCTATGCTCCCATCGGTAACACTCCATGCCAGTGAACTCCAGAGCTGTGGAGATTTGTTGTTGCGGGATGGTGTAGGACTGTGCATTTTTGCTGATGTGATAAAGGTGTAAAAGAGCCAGCAGATTTATAGCTGAAATGGGAGAAACGCTCTTAAAAGGTGCCTGTGCATTTCTATGTTTGATTTTGGGTGAATTTTACTGTTAGTCTCTCTTAGATCCGCATTAACTCAGATGTCTCGCGACGCCTCCTGCTCACGGGCAGAGCGCTTTGCGCAGAATGCGACAGCCGTGTCGGCCCCCCGGGGTCCCTAGATGGACACTGACCTCCGTGGGCGTCCTGGGAGCCGGATGGAGCCGCGGAGGTGCCGGCAGAGCCCTGGCCGGAGGGCGTCCCGCTGGGGATGCTGGCGGTGGCCGCTGCGGGCGCGTGGGACGATGCCCCCGGGCTTGCGGACGGACCGTTTCCCGCTTCTGTTTCACTTCCTGACGTGTGGTTGGTGTCCGCTGTGTTACTCGCGGCCCACTGCAGCCTTGCTAGCAGCAAAACCAAAACCATTCCGTGCGAGCGCCGCATGGTAGCAACTCCAACGTGCCTTACGTTCTGGAGGGAACCTGGAAGAAAGTTGCTTCCACATAGTATTTCTTTTGCAAAACAAAAGGGTTAATGCCCAAATAATCTGCCAAAAAGTTATAGCCAGTTACTGTTCAAGACAGGGGTTAATAATGGCTGGAAACAATATTGATAAATAACATAATTTTTGCTCAAGAATATTCCGTGCTCGGAAGGGAATAACATACAACAGCTTTACTATTGAATATACATACTAGACCAGCATAATCTGCACAGTATTCCTGGCCAGGTAGCACCGCTAGGAAGATGCTCAAGGAAGCCGTGAGCTGTGGCCAAGGAATAGAGTTGTCCACGGGGAGCTGCAAACTGGCGGTGATGTTTGTGAGCCGGAGCAGCGCGCACCATGTGCCTGCTGTCAGCAGCAAGCTCAGAGCTCAGTTAGCTTTCAGTAACACTGGTTTTGGGGTACGGAAATGTTTTTGCGTTTTTTTCACTATTTTTATTAATAAAAGCAAAATAAGATTTTCTATTACCATCCCCAGCTACATTTGTAATTTGAGTGATTCATCTTCATGTAACTATGAAATACTGTGAGACCTGAGTATTGGATTTTTTTGGTCAGTATTAAAACAGCTATAAAGCAAAGGAATAAAAAGCTAATATATTTTACAAGCTTTGGAAACACAGACTTTGATCTGAGCAGTACTATTGTTTTTATTCAGGGGCATGGCCTTGGCTCCCTTACAATAGTACTCATGTAAATGAGCGAAGTGAGTTTGAAAATAAACATTTTTAAAAATTATTTTCCCTTGGCTATATCTTAAATCTATATAGGGAAGTTACTATCAGTTCACTTCTCCCTTTGGTGTTTTTAGTGAAGTGTACTATGGAGCCAGCGTCCCTACTGACGAAATTCCATGCGTTTTTGTTGCGTGTGATTTGGTAATTTTTGTTATTTTAATCTCAGGCACAAAAGAGGTGATAATTAACTCTCTTTTTTTAGTGCAACATTCATACAGTTCATACAGCTGGGAAGAGCATTCCCTAGGAAGCTACCCGTGCAAATGCACATACATCTACAGCACTGCAGTGGTGAAGTCCTGGTCCCCTTCAAGTCTTCTTGGGGATCAAGTCTGTCCCCCTGGGACCTCAGACATCAGGATGAGGGGTTACGCTGATACTATATTTGCTTTTGTTTTACTTAAATTGCTCAGATTTGTCCTCAATATTTCTGCACTTTCTGAAAAGAATAGCTAAACTTCTAAGAGTATATTTTCATCTAAATGTGCATCCAGTGGCATGATAACTAGAGATTTTTGGTAGCATAAATAAAACAATTGCCATATATATTTCATGAGTGTAACTCCCCACGTGCCAGCAATAAGCATAATGTCTGCAAACCTTCAGCACTTAGAAGAAAATAATCCTTTAACCACCGTCTCGTGGACAGATACTATCTTCAGAACTGTAAATTTCTCATCTTAATAAATAGGGCCTTGCACCCTCCTCACAAATATGATTAGAACGCATTTTAATTTATCTAGTAAGCAGCGACCCGGGCAAAGCCTCGGCCTTACCTGGGAGCTTGGCCGGCCGTGCAGGCCGCGGCACGGGTGCTGGTGCCACGCGGGCAGGGAGCCCCTGGAAGTGCCCCGGCCCGCTCCACGCTGCGGAGCTCACGGAAGGTGCCAAGCACCTGCCCTGGTGCTTCACCTGCCGAGGGCTTGGCCCGGGGGAGCCGTTTTCTGAGAACTATCACGCTGTCACTCGGTGTTCTGCTCTTTTAGCTCGTGATAGCTTTGGCTTATTGCCCTTCCCACCTGCCGAGTGTTGCAGATAAAAATGCAATAGGGTGCGTCTTCTGCAGGAGCGAGCGTTGAAAATAAGAAAAATGCCTTGGTGGAAACGGGTCTCATACTATACCCAATCTATTCAGAATTGCCAGGATTTGAGATAATCTAAACCCACATTTGCTGAGTTTATCCAGAAATACAGTCGTCAGTAACTTTTGCCTTGGAATACTGAAAACAAGATACAGATCTGAATTTTACCGCTCACCTTCCTGCAGGTTTTATGTAAATAGTCCTATAAAACACAGTCCTAAAAGTATAAAAAGCCAAGCATACCATATACAACATTTCATATGTTGCTCTGCTCAACCTGTGAGGGTTTTTTTCTCCTCTAATTCTCTGTGTGTATTTATTTTAGCCTGGTATGCAGAGAAGAGAGACTCAGAAGTGCTTTGCTGTTCCCTACTTGTTTGAGTGGAATGCTCTGATACTGCTGTTTCGACTTGAAATTTTTAAAAGATCACGTGCAAATGCTATTTCATAACTCCTTTTAAATGCCTCCAGCAATAGGCAATTAGGAGCAATGATATTTTTCTGCAGTATGTTTAAACCTTTATTCATAGTCTGGTATATCATATCCTTGTATGCATTGTACTTTGAGGGTGTAATGTTTGCCAATCAAATATTTAACATAAAATTGGGTGTTTTATATAAAGACATTATTTAAGAAAAAAAAGCCAGAGTGAAAGCTGTCAGGCAGACAGATCTCCTGTGTTATGTCCGTGATTTTTGCCTGCTTTGACCACTTCCAGCTCCTTAGAAAACAGACTGCATTACCTGAAATGGTGTTGGGGTTTCCTCTGGAAATGAATTCCTTTGCTTAAAGACTTAGAAATGTTCTCTGAGCATTCAGAAGAGCGAAAGGATGCCAAGTCCCGTTCTTCAGACTTTCTTGTCTTGCTGCACCCTTTGTGCCTGAGCGTGGGACACCTGTGTGAGAATTCCTGGCTGCTGATTTTGTCGTGCTGTAAGTTCACACAGCAATTGGGAATAAGCTCTGCAGCATAATGTGTACCCTCCTTGAATGAGCTATTTAAATACCTGGTCTTCCTTTGTCCTTGCAGAGTGAAAAAAAAATGAAGGAAATGATCCCAGGGCAATGGGAGTGAAGCTGTGATTGGGATAGAAAGGGTGGCACAAAGCAGCTGCTACCAATGTGCATCCAGGACAAAATGGGAGATACAGCTGTGTGTGTGTTGATACCGGGGGAGGGAAAGGGAAATAGAAGTCCTAAAAGACCTGATAATCGTCACTTAATTCAATGACTTTAAAGGAGTGCTAAAGCTAATTTCGCACACGGATTTACTGCTTGTACTAATTAGGAGCTAATGAGCAGCCAGACAAACACGGCCTGTCATTCAGATGAATATGAGAAGCCAAGTCTAGCAGAAGGATATTTACGTGGCATTGGACAGTGCAGAGCTGTCAGGTTCATGACTCACCGCGATAAGGATTGAAGACAGGACGTTCCAGTACTTGTTTTGTGAAAGTAAGTTATTTGTGCAGCATGAGGTGCTGCTCTGCGAGCGGGAAGAGGACACAGCATGACCCGGGGTCCTTTGGACTCCAGGCTTCTCCTACGGGAAATTTCCAGCCGTGTGTGCTGCCCAGCTGACCCCTCGTGCTCTGTCTGGAAGGACTGGCTTCCCACCGATTGAGACAGTAAAAAGCCTTCTTCACCCAAAGGGAAAACAACCAAGTGTGTTTGAATAGGCACAAAATATTTCAAAATAACAAGACCTTAAAAAAATAGAGGCTGAAAATTGAAGTGGAAATTGGCACAAGAGAAGGTCTTTGTGAATTGTTTTCTTTTCTTTTCAGGGTTCCTCTTTTATGCTTTCAGCTTTTGCCTCTACTTTCTCAATAGCCTTTTATCACAGCACAATTACCAGGAACGCTGTGATTATGGTGATTACTATGTGAGAGCATTGCAGAGTTTATTGAGACGATCAGGTGAGCCTGTACAAGATGGGGATTCTTCAGCTGGCAGGTCTAGGTAGCTATTAGACCTCAGCTGCTTAGTCTACGGGGATGGTTTTCTTTATCATTGCAGCAGAAAGTGCTCTGTGGACATAAAAACACACCATAGAAACATTCCTGCAAGACCACAGCTTGTCTCTTTGTTACTCAAATTTCGAGTCATATTTACACAAGCTAAAACACTTTCTCATCCTGGAAAGTTGCTTGTAATTCTGTATTTCAGCCTTCCTCATATTTTTCTTCAGATTTTATTTGTGTTTCTAATAACGATACGGGAAAAAAATGACACTTCCTCATTTGTTTGGTTTCAATTTCTCTGACTTGAGTGTTTTAAGTCAGTGGGATATAAAGTTTATTGTTTGATTTCTGAAAACCAAGCTTCTTCCTGCCTTTCATTGAAACCATCCATCTCTTATGAGTAGCTGTGGGATGAACTTCTGTGGGATGCTAACTTCTAGTGATTGTGCTTTAATACAGCCTGCAGATATAAATATAGCATAATAACAATACTATTATACTGTCTATAAACATATTAAAATAATATATGTTGTATGTAATAGAGCAATAAAGCAATATTTAGAATGTTAGACCTTCTTACCCAGTTTCAGTTATAAATTCTTCTTCTAAGTAGTTGACTGACAGAACCAAGGAAATTTTCTCAGTCCCTGTTCAGTATTAGTGATTTCTTTTTCCCGGGATTTCTTTATCCAATTTGGGGGAAATGGAACTTGCAGTAACTTACCGTTACTTATTTATTCTAAATAATTTCATAGGACCTACTAAAAAGACTAAGTAGGATCTGCTTATGACCTTACACATAGATCAGAAATAATTATTTCAATATGTGTTTTGGCAGCTAAGCCGCACTAGGAAAAAGCTGGTAGCATAGGGAAAAAAGTAAGGTTGTCCTGATTTGAAGTGGTTTATGAGGTCAGAATCTGGTTCTTCATTAATAAATGTAATTGTGTATGCATATCTTTGTTTCTCCAAAGATTTTAAGCCATAATAATGTAGTTTGCAAAATCAAAATCAAAGTGAATGATCCAAAAGAGATGTTAGTGCCTCATGTGGAGAGGTGCAGCTAGCAACAAAAAAAATAGTAAAATAGTAATAGTAAATAGTAAAATAGTGAAAAATAAATAGAATAAAATAGTGTTCTGGTTTTAACAGTGATTATCCTAGTTACCGTTTTTAGATTCTGTGGTAAAACATCTGGAGAACGGCTAAGGACAATTACCAATTTTCCTATTGTTGATTTTATTGAAATCTTCTTTTCTGCAACTAAAGTGTACTTTATCATTTCCCCAGCTACAGTATTTCTGGAGTTTTGGAAAAGACGGAGAGCAGTATTAACCTATGACTGGGACCTAATAGACTGGGAAGACGAAGAGGTAAGACAAAACAGTTATATTCGGATTGTATTTGCTATTTGGGTTATATTTGGGTTTCTAAATCCAGTTTCCAAATATCCAGGTCAACTTGAGAGGGGAGAAAGCTTGCACTACGCTGTCTTATCTGTACTGCTTCTGCTGTTTGAGGCGCTCTTTCCCCCTTCCTGCTTCTTGGAGCTATTTCACAGGAGCAAGTTGTTTGGATATTTGGGTTGGAGGATTTTCAGAAAGAATTTTTATCAATATAAATTTATTAATGTTATAATCATATGTATGTCTAGTCGCCTGGTGCTTCAGTGAAATAATTGCAACCTAAATGGCATCTAACATGTTATTTCAGGAAGAACTGCG